AATAGCCACATAATCACATGGTTTTCACACCTGTACATCTTACCTGTGATTGACCGAACTACTCGGTAGTGAAGCGGACGCAAAACCTATCAATCAAGCACTGGACACAGGTGTGTTTAGTGTTTTGTACCTGTACACAAATTTCACACCTAAGCAGGCTAAAGGAGTTGATCGAGATGCTATTCATTATTGAACCAAGATGTTAAATTATATCTTAGTCCGTGATATAACTTAGCATCGCATCAATAAGTACTGTATTGTATAATATTATATGTGTAACTGTCGGTATTTTGTTGTTTATTTGAATTGTCGACCTAACATAAGGACGACACAGTGTCGTCAATTTGTCATCTTCTTCTTCTTCCTTGTATTTGCCTCTTTCAACTGGTTGAAGATACTGCAAAGTTTTGGAGTGTGCACTTCATGTGAGGACAGGTTTAAAAGTTAAAATAGATGAAAGTTCATTGAATTGTTTTATTTGATTAGAGGCGTGACACTCGGCCTTTAAGCCATTGAGTGTCTCCTCTTCCGCTATATCAGGAGGCAAGGCATTCCAATCGCGCACGGTGTTTGGGAAGAAAGATGCCTTCCTTGTGTCAATGCGACTGGCGATCAGTTGGAATGATCGGCTGTGTGTTGTTCGACCTATCCTCATTAAACGGTAATACCGAAAATATGCTATACGTTTTATTGACATTCAAACACAGAGTACACCAACGTTGAAGTTGTTTTGTTAACATTTTTCACTGATACATTTCCGTACATTTGGACCGTAGCGGTACAGTAACTTTGCAATATATATAATCCGGCACAGAAACTGGTCACGTAGTAGTGCTGTTCAACGACGACATGATTGGCGGTAGTACTGTGACTGTGTACTACCGACTACGAACACTACAATTACTATATATTATATTGTAAATATGTTTCTCTAAACATTGTATTGTGAAAAGAATAAAGTTGAATTGAATTGAATTGTTGTGTACACAGCATGACAAACTATATGTGTGACAGGTTTTAAACATTTGTTGTCGTCAAATTCCTTCTACACAATGCATTTCGTGTGTGATAGATACTCCTTTTTCAAAATAAAATGATATTAGAAATAGAATTTTTGTGTTGCCCGAATTGTGTTCAAAAGGACGACCACATATTTAGAAAGAATGCTGTTTTAAAATAAATTGTAAGTAAGTTCTATCGTCGGCAGACGTTTCACTAGCAACATATGAGTTTTATTTGAAGTCGATAGTACATAGACCGATGGACTAGACATTTTAACTTTGAAGTCGATAGTACATAGACCGATGGACTAGACATTTTAACTTTGAAGTCGATAGTACATAGACCGATGGACTAGACATTTTAACTTTGAAGTCGATAGTACATAGACCGATGGACTACACATTTTAACTTTGAAGTCGATAGTACATAGACCGATGGACTACACATTTTAACTGTCAGTGATAATCCTCGATCTCCGGTGGAATCTCAAGATAATACGGGAAAACAATCGACCGACAGAAAAGGTAGCAGAACAATTTCTTATAGTGTAAGGGATTCCAACGTTTTCTAATTTGACGTGGTTTTCACAAAGGTGCGTCGATGAATTGTCCACTGATAACACTCGGTCCTTTCTTCGATATGATATGATCCACGTGTTGTAATAGATGCTGTGTCTAGTGAGGCGAATTCAAACATTGGAAATAAACTAAAAACTAAACATTTAATCATCCTCTTATCACCCGGGTGCATCCCCCACTGTCAGAGATGAGAGGATTATTAAGGGATGGGCGGCGTATCCATATTTGAGAAGGGTGAGGATACGCCACACATCCCTCTCTTGCTACTACCCGGATACGGGGTCTATGAGAAACAAGATATATAATTCGTGGCGATCGGATATGATTCCCGGATACGGGTTCTATGAGAAACAAGATATCTAATTCGTGGTGATTGGATATGATACCCGGATACGGGATCTATGAGAAACAACATATCTAATGTGTGGTGATTGGATATGATACCCGGATACGGGTTCTATGAGAAACAAGATATATAATTCGTGGTGATTGGATATGATATCCGGACACGGGTTCTATGAGAAACAAAATTTCTAATTCGTGGTGATTGGATATGATACCCGGATACGGTTGATAGGAGAAACAAGATATCTAATTCGTGATGATTGTATGATTTAAACACCTTTGATTCTTTTTCACATATAATTGCGTAGATTATATAAAAAAAATCAAGAACATTTGGTATGTCAATCAAAGAGGTATAGCGCACTTGTTCCTGTTTCAACTCTAACGTGACCAATAGTAAAGTCAAAAGGGATATTTTCTGTTTCAACAAATCAGAAACAAAATCTTGGATAATTATGCGCCGTGCATCAATATCAAAAACAGGCTGTCAAAGTATCAACTTTGAACAATACAACATGGTGGCTTTCCCGACTTTTAATGCGTGTTTGACACACAGCGCATTCAGGGACCAATTTTAGGGCTGTTGATATTAAACATTCATCATCAAATACAATTTAGAGTGGTACAGGCATGTGCTGTTACCGAAAAAATTGAAACCCCAATTATAAGACCAAACATTTTATCAGGTTATTGCATTCCATCTTGAACAAAGATATGAAATGTTGATACGGGTAATCTGCTCACCGTAGTCCGTACATATGTAGCTCTCCATACTCGAGCTTTTATCAATTCACGTTTAACAAATTAATTTAGTTTAAGTTTTATTTATTCACTCCGACACACTTACGTGTGTAACAAGAGGTCACATACATATAGTAAGTATGATACATGGCGTGTGATGTACACAATTACAACATTGTACATAGCATAGATACATATAGAAGTACACAAATAGTACAGAAATTAAGTTAATATTTTTTCAAGCTTTTCTATGAATTTACAAAGTTTTGTGTAAATTTTTACATTAAATATATTAAACAATCCTTGCATTTTTAATTGACTTGGATAAGTGAAATAATATTTTGGTATATATTTCTCTCTTAGACATTTAACTAAAACACTTTCACATATAAATAAGTAATGAAATTCATCTCCAATGTACAAATTACATAATGTACAGGTTCTTTCTTGACGAGGAATACCTAACCATCTTCCTTTTTCTATGGGTAAATGCATATTGCAAGAACGGAATTTACACATTATTTTCCTATCATTTGTATTAAGTTTAATTAAATATTTTTCTTGTTCAAACTTTGTCTTTAATATTGAATATGTTTGTCCTCTAGAGGAGTTAAGAATATTATCAAACCATTTCTGTATAAATTGATCCTTCAGTCTACTTTTCACAAGCCTCTTAATTTCGTCTTTTGAAAAAGAACATGTTGATTGATAGTACCACACATAGTTCAGGCCAGTTTGAGAAAAAATATCTTTAACATATGCGAGCCATTTAAATAACATAGTTCCATTTTCATGTAATGTATACATAAGCTTATAATTGGAGTTGCATGTTAATATTTTTATAATCTGATTTTATTATGAAGATGTTTTAGATTAGGGTAACGAACAATGTATTTCAGAAAAAAATGCCTATCAAAAATTTGCTGCGTTGCAAATAAATAACTGTTACATTGATTGTTTTATGTGATTAATGTTCTATTTTCTTCCTTGTGTTTTAGTTCCCTGCAATATCTAATTATATCAGGATTCATGAATAATAATTACGTAGGCGTTGACCAACAAGTACTATTTTTAGATACGGAGTCACCGAATGCACGTGCATACGTGCTCATTAATCGTGTACTTTAGATTAATGTTCTATTTTCTTCCTTGTGTTTTAGTTCCCTGCAATATCTAATTATATCAGGATTCATGAATAATAATTACGTAGGCGTTGACCAACAAGTACTATTTTTAGATACGGAGTCACCGAATGCACGTGCATACGTGCTCATTAATCGTGTACTTTAGATTAATGTTCTATTTTCTTCCTTGTGTTTTAGTTCCCTGCAATATCTAATTATATCAGGATTCATGAATAATAATTACGTAGGCGTTGACCAACAAGTACTATTTTTAGATACGGAGTCACCGAATGCACGTGCATACGTGCTCATTAATCGTGTACTTTAGACCGCGTCAATGCAGCGAACTGAAATAGGTGCACAGCGTATCTTACGCACCTCATTTCTTTGTCATACATTCATTTTGATAATATGTCGTCGCACATTTAACACAGGTTATGTCGTTATCGTAATCAAAACCAGGTAGAGGACGAGTTCCATTTTGTTTTGATTTGTCCACTCCATGTTGATATTCGTAAAAAGTTCCTTAAAAAGTATCACTGGAGCCGTCAATCTTCATATAAACTTGTCCAGCTGCTATCTGTACGTAACAGAAAAGAGCTTTGTAATCTAGGAAAGTATCTGCAATCAAGTTGGTTAGAACGGTCTAGATTCCAACCTTAGGTAATTGTGTTTTTTTCTCACTCTGACTGATAACATATGAGTGCTTGTTTATTTCCAGGTTTACGCATATTGTTTTGTCCATCCCCTGACTACACCACTGTATACAAATTGTATGCCTGTTTTGTTTTGTTTTTGTAATTAACTTATCTTTATTGAGCCCCGGTTGGTATTATGCTAAGACAATGTTGTCACCTCATCTGTTTTCCGATAGTCACGGTACACTTATAGGTGAGGTAATTTTACAAGAGCTGTCCATCTTCTGATAATTTATTTATCTTGTACGTAATAATAATTCAAAGAATTATACTGTCCATTTATAGGTACTAATATATATGCGATGTACAAGATTATGCTTCATTTATGATGTTATAATTATTTGGTATTTCATACCACTGATGTATCAATTATACGTTGCTGTGTATGCTTATGAGCCGTAAGGCTTCAAGTTGAATAAACAAAACAAAAACATGACACGTTTCGGATCACTAATCACAACGATTGTTGGACATCCCCTTGACGTCTGACGTCATTCAGGCCAAGCGAGACGACAGGCCAGATTGCTTGTCCCAGCAGTCCCGTGTGGCAAACATTTACAGGGTTAGGAGTGTGAAATCGCGTGTGTTACAACCAGATCATGTCTAGTGAAATGGACGAAGACCAAAATACTGAAGGATGTACAAAATGGACACATAGACTGTGCCGAGATGGATTTAAGGGAGAACTAATGTCTCAGTTAAAGATTGTTTGGCCGGTGGTGAGTACAAACTTAGTAATTAGGTGACAACTAGTCTCTAAGTCGCCTTGGTTTATGAGTTGGGTAATTAAAAAAAATTCGTCTTACTTTTAAACTAGAATTATGTCAGTGTGACATTAAAGCCGCTCACCACTTTAAATTTAATTGCTTCAGTAACACGTGGAGCATCAATTTCTACTATAATACCTCAGATATGTGTTTTTATTCTGCTAATTGAAAATCAGGTCATGTGATTCAATCACCTCTTAAATGATGTCTTAAGGTGGCTCCACACTTTCGCAATTAACCAGCAAAATTCGTTAAAACTTTCATATAAAGGTTATGCAACTATGTAGAGTTGATTTTATGAAAATCTAAACATTCTGATAGTTTGGGGACTTTTTTGGAAAAAATACCAAAAAATTGAATTGTCGTCAATTTTAATATTTTCCGTTTTTTTGTGTGTGGCATTGTTCGGAACAATAACAACAATAAAAAAATTAAAAGAAGCATTTCTAATTAACCCTACAAATATTTTATCTATCGCAAAATATGTTATGTAACACATGTTACACAAAGTGTTTTTTATTGAATTTGTACGGATAGAAGCGATTATCTACAAGCTAAAAGCAAACAGGACACAAAAATCTATACATATAGAGTGGGAAATTGAATAAAATATACTCAATGGCTTTATAATTAATTTATTTTACATTTTACAATCACTTTGATCCGGGTGAGACCTTATTTAATAAACGAACAACAGTGGTCCGATCGGTTTGACCGTTTAAACGAAAACGGCCCAGGTGTTACTATAATGTGCACTACGATATTGAATGCCCGATACGCAATACGGAAATGACGACCGGTGAACATGCACATTTCGATCAAGATAATTGAGTTCGAGCTGTACTTTTTCCGGAAGTACGTCACGAAAATGGACGCTGATGACGATGTGTGGAGCCACCTTAAAAACATTTCTCCCTCTCCTCTTTGTTCACTCTCTTTGGTGACGCATTGTTGTATTTTTCATTAATTAGCATCCTCAAATGATGTGACATGAGCATTTACGTGCAGAATGGTGAATGGGTAATAAATAATAGGTGCATTTTGTGCTTGTGAAATGAAGGATAATTAACAGTAGTGGGAAAACATGCATGGAGAAAAGAGACAATGTACTCCTTTATTTCTATTTATTTTTTATTCATATTAATAATAATCATTAATATATGTAGTGACTTTATTTACTGTCATTGAATATACAATTCATCACAAAATCTCACAAAAGTTCCTGGAATATATTTGAATTATATTTCTCAATGCGACTTTACCAACGTAAGAGTTATTTCCCTTACACCGGATTGGATAATATTTTGACACAGCGCGAATTCTTGTCAAACAGCAGCGGCAGTTGTGTCATGTTCTTAAATTCTTTCATTTTCATAAATAAATACACCAGAAATAGCATGCTGTGTTACAGAAATGTTTGATAAGCATACAGAGTTCACACATCGTCTCGTCTCAGAGCCACGTCCGTGGTAGCAACGATGGTTTATTACCGTTATCAGAGACGTATAGACTATTAATATATAAGTCTCTGCCGTTATCAACCTAAGTACTGTATGTCATATTACGTTCCCTTTTGAAACATCAAAATAGTGGTTATACTTCATCACTCATACGGTTTATAAGTACATATGTTTACTTCTTCCTTGTACCTACAAAATATAAAAAGCTAGACCGTACAGACAGCTGTAACGTGACCCTGTGGTCCATGCTTGACAGTCCTCACATGTGCTTTCTCGAATCAGTTACGATAACAAACACTCCTCCGAGTAACCTCAATCAGAGTTGCTAAAACGCTCAAACCAAGTGCACGAATTTCACCATCACAACACTCGTAGAATGCACCAGAGACAAACATTTTGTTTGCAGCAATTATTTAAAGCACGGACTTCGATAACATCAAATTCTGTGTTTAAAGTATGGATTATTATTTGGAGAAGAGTATGTGATGTAACCCACATGTGAGTGTCAGATATTCTACTTCCTATTCCCTACAATACGAAACTATATAGCGGAAGCATGCAAGACCGAATTATGTGCACGCACCCCGAACGGAAGTGGGTCCGTCATTTCGTTTTCTGGCTCTCACCAAGAGCGGCTTAAAAAAACAAGCCACTTTACTTGACCAAAGAACGCAATGATTACATCGGTTTTAAAAAAAATTCTAAGAATTTACAACAACAAGATTATGTAGGAAATTATTTTTACTTGGTGAGAATTATCCTTGGAGGAAGATTGATTCAAATTGTAAAATTGAGATTCCTACACCAACCCCTGGGGCCAGGGCGGGGCCCCCAAGGGAAAATTAAAAATCAATATTTCAAAAATCTTCTTCTCCAGACTCAGAGGTACTAGTCATTTTCTCTACATCGAAAGAAAGATCATCAGGGGTTTTATTAAAATTGTAAAATTCAGAACCCCCGAGCTATCCGTCGTTCTCCCTTGGGGAGGGGGTAAAGTTTACTATAGTTTATATAGGGAAATAACATTTTTGGGTATATTTTGACAACTTACTGTAGGATTTTTTTTTTACTTGGTGAGAATTATCCTTGGAGGAAATGGTTTCAAATTGTAAAATTGAGATTCCTACACCAACCGCTTGGGTCAGGGCGGGGCCCACAAGGGAAAATTAAAATATCAATATTTCAAAATATTTCTTCTCCAGACTCAGAGGTACTACAGTCATTTTCTCTACATCGAAAGAAAGATCATCAGGGGTTTTATTTAAATTGTAAATTTCAGAACCCCCGAGCTATCCGTCGTTCTCCCTGGGGGAGGGGGTAAAGTTTGCTATAGTTTATATAGGGAAATAACACTTTTGGATATATTTTGACAACTTTCAGTAGGAAATTATTTTTACTTGGTGAGAATTATCCTTGGAGATAGAAGGTTTCAAATTGTAAAATTGAGATTCCTACCCCAACCCCTTTGGGACAGGGTGGGGCCCCAAAGGGAAATTAACCAATATTTCAAAAATCTTCTTCTCCAGACTCAGAGGTACTACATTCAATTTCAGTGCATAAAAAGAAAGATCATCAGGGGCTTTATTTAAATTGTAAATTTCAGGACCCCCGAGTTATCCGTTCTCCCTTGGGGAGGGGTTAAGTTTACTATAGTTTATATAGGGAAATAACACTTTTGGGTNGGATTCCTGCCCCATCCCCAGGGGCTAGGGCGGGGCCCCAAAGGGAACATTTACCAATATTTTCAAATTCTTATCCTTTGATGACATGACAAGTATTGTATTTCACTTAGTTTACATGCTGATTTCCACATCACATCTAAACAATAAAATAAAGCTACCAGTACCTATGATATAACTCAGGTGACCGCTAAGGCCCTTGGGCCTCTTGTTATGTATAACCAATCGCATGTTTTTGTGTATAAAGGAATGTCATTAAAGAACTATTTCAATGGGTTCGTAAAGTCTACTTGTCATTGTCGGTATCGTGACGGCCATCTTTCCAATGTTACGTTTACAAAAAGATTTCTCTCTCTACGTAGATAAGTGAGTATCTGTTGCTAAGGGCTACTAAACATGTTCCGTGGGAACCGCTATTTGTCCTGGAGTTGACATGCATTGTCTATGTAATGCGGCTAAATAATTGATATCCCTGAGTTTCAATGCAGAAAGAAAGTTGCGGTCCTTAATAAAAACCTCATTTCAAACCGGGATTTTCTATACTCTTTGATGAATGAAGACAACCTGTATCCTAATGTATGGAGGCGATTGGTGTTGGTCACCTATCCCAATCAGTGCCATCACCAAATGTGAATAGGAAGTAAAACGGCGCCTCTTAAATATAGTAATGCCGTGTTAAGTTAATGGAAATCACAAGCAGCTAGCCATGGTTTTCATATTTGTAATATTTGAATGTTTCATATGTAATGCAAATATATGAATCAAATATTACAAACCTACTATTCGCACGATCATCAGGGGCTTTATTTAAATTGTAAATTTCAGGACCCCGAGCTATCCGTTCTCCCTTGGGGAGGGGGTAAAGTTTACTACAGTTTATATAGGGAAATAACACTTTTGGGTATATCTTATCCATTTTCAGTAGAAAATTACTCAAACTTAGTCAGAATCATCTTTGGTGAATGAGGGTATTACATTATAAAATAATGATTCCTGCCCGATCCCCAGGGGCTAGGGCGGGGCCCCAAAGGGGACATTTACCAATATTTTCAAATGTTTATCCTTTAATTTGATGACATGACAAGTATTGTATTTCACTTAGTTTACATGCTGATTTCCACATCACATCTAAACAATAAAATAACGCTACCAGTACCTATGATATAACTCAGGTGACCGCTAAGGCCCTTGGGCCTCTTGTCTTTCTTGTGATTGATCGAAAACTAAAACATTAAAGTTTAGGGCCGAAAATGGCTACTTGTTGAATTTGAGGGGAGGATGTGCCACTCTTTCTCCTTCCCCATACGAAAATAGACATATAAAGGCCAGATTACCTCTACACTAATGAGAAGGAAGGATTCGTGTTTCCTTGTTTCTGTGGAGGGCTTTCCTTTAGCTTTTTGACATGTTTGATTCCTGTAGCTACCTTTGTCTATCCTCTTTACAGTGCAACTTGTGTAAGTCCTGGCCGTATCGTATAATTTCTGTTACTTGTTATGAACTAGACTGTCCCCGTCTCTAGAGTATTGAATTATTTAGAAAAATATCTAATTTTGAACCGAAGATTATCATTTTGAGTAGTAATAATAATATCGGTGATTTAAAGGTAGTCTTGATGTGAAATCATATATGTTGAGATGACTTATTTTCCTACAGACGACTTACTTACAATGATAATTACAGCGCGTCTGCTAACGTCTGTGATACATGCTTAGTTCTATAGCTGTTAATACTTCAGACTAGTCGGTAACACTCACTCAGAATGATCACAAATACTAGCAACAAGTCAAAGCTTTTAGATTTTCAAGATGGA